CCCCCCCTTTCTATGTTGCCTATTTTCTACAGTTTTGGTTTCAACCGCTAACATAACTGTCGCACCGACCACTAGGCGCTCATTGAATTTATTTTTGCCGTGAGGCTTGGCGGGTTGTACTCTGCATACCTGCAATTCCTTCTCCCCCCAGTTGCTCTACTTCATTGCTCTTTTATCTCATCATCATTCATTTTGTGCTTGGCCGCTGCCTTACTGCGTGCCGCCCCCGCGCTCGCCTTCATGCTGCTCCGTCACCCCTGCGGCAACTTCACGCAACCTTATCACAGGAGGAAGCACTAAACCAAATGGTTCAATTGACGCGAACAGAGCTGGAGATGCAGACGAGTGAGGAGAACGCTTCCCCCACACAGGCGCTGATTGTTGAGGAACTGACTAAACGTTTGGAGGTCCTGGAGGCCGAACGTTGCAAGCTAGCCACTTCGCTGACTGAACGTCAGCAGGCGACCTCTTATGTATGTTGAGTATACTCTCTGCATTTAGGCCTTTAGATTTATTTGCGTTTCTTCTGCAGTCTATGACTTCTGGCTTTTCCTTAGCTGCTATAACATCAAGTCGAATTTTTTTTTAATTCACAAATTGTTTCAACTGCACTTCTTCTTGACTTTATTTTTGTGGATTACTAACTAATAGGGGTGAGTTCGACCACCGTAATCGGTGATGTCCACCATTTGCCCTAGAGCAGGGACGGCGACTGTGGCCAAGTAAAGTGAAAGTAGACGGGCCGCCATCTACCCCACCCTAAGCCCTCATCCGCTTTAACCGGTGAAAAAACAAAGTCGAGATGACCGAGCAAGAATCAAGCGTAAGCCGCTTTCTCCAGATGCAGCCAGGAACACCGCGTAACTTAATCTTTAGTGACAGTAGACTTTGCGCGGGTACTACTGCATTGTCTACTCTCACTCACCTATTGTAGGTGTCTAACCTGACTCTAAGAAGCAAGGGCTCGTACTGCAACTACCACTACTGCTACTTTTAATACTACTAACTAGGGTGTAGCTTAGTGATCGTATTTTCTGGTACTATTACTGACTATTTTGTAAGTCAGAAA